GTTAGCATCGGCGTCTCAAAACAGTTTAACTCTAAGTGTGCTATGTGGTAGAGCACCACACAGCCACCACATGTATTTGTGCATCTCTCCCCCGCATCATGCGATGCGCCTACGCGTCACCGCAGCCCAGACCGTCCATTAAGCGAGCAAGTCGAGGAACTACGTTTGGATGATTGTGGGTCTGTCCAGGATAGGCCCTTCCCCTTCACAGTGTCGACGAAGTCGCGCGCATGCATCTGTTCCTCGAAGTCGATGCTGCAGGTCCTGATCACGTTGTGGGATTTGACTGACAATGTCGGTCGCGATCGACCCTCGTGGCTTGAGCGTGTCGAGCACTGCGGTCATGACCGTGGCGAAGACTGGACGGGGCAAGAGCTCTTATGTAGATAAGGTTGACTCGTTGTCGTCGTAGGTGTGGATGGCCCTCGGTCCTGCGCCAGCTGCTGGCCGACGTACATGATGTAGGGAGTGGGGTTCCGCCCGGCCGGTGTACCTGATGTAGTAGACCTCGCGTCCGAGGTAGCGGGCTCTATGAACTGCTTGTCGTCGGCGCCGTTTTGGGCGATGTTCGCGAGCGCCTCGTCCGTGGCCTCTCTGGTGGGAGGTGAGAGACCCCCGCAGACGCGCCAGCTTCTCGACGTGCTCTCTACGAAGCACTCCTTCATCGCCCTCGTGTCCGTCAGCTTGGCATCGGCTGTGTCGACGCGGCCGTTGATGGCTTCTGGGGTCCGGCGGCAAGCAGCACCGCAGGGCAACGCAGCACGCAGCAAGCAGGCGAGCGGCGGCAAGCGGCAGCGACGAGCAGGCGGCGGCGCGCGGGGCGACGGCGCGCGGGGCGACGGCCAACGCGCGCGGTCGCGCGCGCCCCGCGCTCAAATCCCGAGCGCGGGGCGCGCGCGGTACCTGCCCACGGCCGTGGTAGCGCTGTGCAGAATCTGCTTCAGGGCGGCGGCGGCGTCTCCCACCCCGAAGGACTGGCGCAGGCGACGTGGCACGGCCGAGGCCCCGTCGGCCCGAGGCTGCGGACAAGGGCCGAGAGACGAGGGCGCTGTCCTCGGGCAGGAGCCCTCGAGCCAGCCCTTACGCCGAGACCTAGCTGCGACCTCGGGGCGAAGGCTACAACTTGAGCCAAAATGGCGACGGACAGGGTAGGAGGAGGAGGAGGAGGAGGAGGAGGAGGAGGAGGAGGTGGAGGAGGAGGTGGAGGAGGTGGAGGAGGAGGAGGTGGAGGAGAAGGAAGAGGCGGAGGATGAGGAGGAGGACAAGGAGGAGGAGGAGGAGGAGGAGGAGGAGGAGGAGGAGGAGTAGGAGGTAGGAGGACCATTCGGGAGGATGATAATAGAGGAGCAGCTGGAAGTGAAGGGTGGAGGAGGAAGGCGGCATAATTCATGCACTGACGGTTTTACGCGGCAGCGCAACTGGATTGTGGCCTTGCGGCGTAGATGACGGGCATGGCGGTCACATGCAGGCGCGATTAACGACGAACGCAAACACTTAAACGAACAAGCCGGGGAGGTAGTGGTGCTCGAAACGATGACGACATGATGTGCCATGTACGAGGGCGACGCCGAGGTGTCAATAGCTCTTTGCAGCGTGGCAAAACGCACCAATACGGTCAAAAGGGCCGACCCAAGGCTTGTTGACATATTCTGGCTAAGTTACGTCATCGTGGCCTTTTCGCCTCCTGCACATCAGGTCATGTTTGGCTAATATTTACCCCGCGCTTGGACAATGCTTGGGCTTCGTTCGGGGTGCTCTCCCGCGCCAGCCCGGGGCGCTATGCTCTTGCTGCAGCGGAGTTGGCGATTGTCTGAGGCTCGTCGGGACTTTGCCTCGCAGGCAGCGGGTCCTGTCCTGGGCCCCGGGGCCATCCCCTCGGCGGGTCAACCCTTCGGTCCCGAACTGTTGCTTGACCTTTCTGGAGCCTGGGGAGAGCCCCGAGCGGCCGGAAAGCTGTCAAATACCTACAGGATCCGTTTCCATCGTGATCCCTTCGCTCTCTCTCTCTCTCTCTCTCCCAGACGCCTCCAGCCGCACGGTTGCAGGCCTCTGCGCAGACGCGACAAGCTGCGCTCAAGTCAGCCGCGCTTCGCAGTGAAATCACGATGGATAAAGGCAGCATGTCGAGACAACTGGGCCCTCTGGGACCAGGGTTTCGTTGGTGAAGCAAGCGACAAGCGGATGGACGCATTTGCATATGTCACTCATAGCGATTTGGGAAACTGGGGAAACCGAAAGGTACGGAGACCGTTACTCCCGAGATCTCTCGCGGGGTGCGCTCAGACCAGGATTGCGAGGCGAATCCAGCCTTAGAAACGGCCTCGCAGGAGACCCCAAAAGTGGGAAACGGTCGAAGGATAGCGCAGTATGGTCGGGGAGGCGTAAGACTCGGGATCGGAGGACTCTGGTGGGCCTGACGGGGCCATCATGAAAATGACGAGAGCAAATATGAAGTGTGACGCAAACTCCCGATGCAAGCATCCCACGAAAACTGGACCGTCAATCCATGACGCACTCGCCCAGAAGCGCCGGCAAACCCGATGTACGCCATCTTCGAGTCCAACGTTTTCCCAGAGATGGTTACCATTTCCTCCTCCGAGAAGCTCATCGCCCCTTCTTGGCCCTCCGTGGCGAGAACACGTGCGCTCCAACGCTGCTGCCTTCCCCCACCCCCTTCGCGTGGGGAAAGACGGGTCCTGAGGGAAATAGGTCCTGGACCCAGGGGATTAAGCTAAACAGGTTTCTTCGCTCTCGTTTGGCTTTCGATGCCCTCGGTCTGTCCTCGCTCTGCCTTCGCCGCGAAGAGGAAGCAGACCGAAAAAACGGCCCACGAGATCGCCAACAAACACCGTCTGGCTCGAGCCGTCCTGGACCCAAGGGCCTCCCCCCAGCCCGAAAGCGCAATCTATAACCCCAGGAAGCATTTAAGAACCCCCCCGGCGATATCTTAGCACCGCATTTTTATTCGATATTCCGAGGGGCCGAAATAACCGCACGATAGGTTTAGCACCCGGACACACAACAAATTCGCGGAGGCCTGGCCCCTGGGCTACAATCGAAAGTCGAAATTCAAATCTGCGTGGCTCTCATGGAAGACTCATGAAAGATGGGTGGAGGAGAGGAGGAGGAGGAGGAGGATGAGGAGGAGGAGGAGGAGGGCTCCTGGTGCCAGGTAACACTTCCAGGGTGCGGAAGGGTTATCGATTTGCCGGAAGGGGGGGGGGGGTTCTTAAATGCTTCCTGGGGTTATATACACACATTCATATATACACATATATTGTTATATTATTTTATATATAAGCACACATGCGTACACATACACACACATATATGTATATATTATGTGTATTACACCAGAGAAAAAACAATCGGTGGATGGTTCTCGCTGAGGAGATCGACCGGGAACTCAGGAGCCCGGCCTAACCCAGAACCCACCGGAATCGGCCCGGAACCAATAACCAGGAACCCAGGAACCCGGAACCGGAAACCCGGGAACGCAGCCTGCTACGAAAATCGGCGGGAAACTCTTGCCAAACCCTTCAGCTTCCGCTGGGACCCCTGCGGTGCAAGCACTGATTGGGGGAAAAACCTGAGACCCTCGGGAACCGCTTCCCCCAGCGGCGGCGACCCCCCCCCCCCCCGAGACGATGGCCGCCCGGGGCCAGCGGCCCGAAGGCGCGCGGCGGGCCAAATTGCGCGCTCCTCGGGAGGCCGCCCAGGCAGGGGCCGAGGATCCCCCGACGGCCCTTCGACGACCCGATCTGTTCGGCGTTGGCCAAACACCAGCTCGAGGCTGGTGCGCCCCTCACATACTCGAAGACGACCCGGCTTCCTCGTCCACCTCCTGATCCCCCTAAGCCTCCTCCTCGCCTCTCCTCGCCCTCTTCGCTCCTCGTTCCCTTCGCTCCTCGCTCTCTTCGCTCCTCCTCCCTCCTCGCCCTCCTCGTCGCCCTCTTCCCCGCGGGATGGCAAGGCATCGCGACGGGCCTGGGGAGAAGCTGAGATCCCCAGACGGCCTCCGACGACCAGACCTTGTGTCGCGCAGCTTGCTGAGGCGAAGCCAGGAAGAGGACAAATTAGGGTGAGGATAGTTCGGGAATCTCTGAGATCCGGCAACTCTGGCGGATGTCTCGGACGCCACGAACTTCTCAGAGTGCTACGGAAAGCTCTGAGAGCGTTCCGGAACGCTCTGCAGCAGTTTCATCCTCGTCCCAGCCCCGCCCGACGTGCCTCCGTAACAGAACGATCGAACAATACACATCCATACCCATAGGCCCATAAGGGTGTCGGAGGCATGAGGGGACCCCCAGCCGATAACACCCACCCACAGCCCCATCTGTCCCCCTTGGCCTGTCCCCCTACAGGCGGATTTTGGGCGAACAATGAAAGAGTCAACAAATAAATACACTTAAAATGCTCAAGGATAGAAAAAAGTAGTCTCCCGACTATTGTTTTACTGTGTTTGAATGTTCCCCTTGCAGATGGACAGGGCCGGCTTAACCCTAGGGGTATGTCGTTCGTCATATTACGCAGAGGCAGGACGAGGACCATCTCCAGACGAGGAAAACAAAAAAGCGGGGATCTCTGAGAGCCCTGCGGGTCTGGAGGACGGCGGCCGTGCCAGAGCGTTCTGTGGAGCGCTGTGGGAGCAGTCTGGGGCGCAGTGATTCCTCCTGCTCCTAGCCTTGGGTCGGCCCTCACAGGGAGATTTTGGACGAAACATCAAAACATATTCAACGAGATTCAAACATGGCAACAAAAACGATCAACAGATCGTGCCCAGACTACTTGTTGACTATTTTTGAATACTCCCCCTGTAGAGGGACATGCACGATTTTAAGTCTGGAGGACAGCGGCCGTGCTGGAGCGTTCTGGAACGCTGTGGGAGCGATCTGGGGCGTAGTGATTCATCCTGCTCCTAGCCCTGCCTCGCCCCAGACGTCTCGGTCCCTTGGAAGGGACGGCTTCCCGTCCCTGTAAGTCGCTACTGGACAGCCTCTGGGGACGCCCCGGAAATAACGACGACGATCCGGCGCGGTCGTGCCGAGTCGCCAAACGAAGTCTGGGCAGGCGCGCCAGAGCTCCCAGACCCCCGACGTCATGATTTGTTCGTGACGTCGACTCCCAGAGGTCTCGACACATTCCCCAGGACCGGTTTCTCATCCTGTGTCGTTTTTCGGCACTCCCGAGGCCCGGCAAGGGCCCAGGGAGGCTGAAACTAACAAAACCCGTCCGTCGCGTTTTGTTCGTGATCCCAGGGGGTCTGGGAGCGACGTCTGGGACGGCGCGCCGCGGCACCTTTGCGCAGCCGCAGCGAGAGAGCTCACGCCCTGCGGACAGGGCCCCGAGGAAGGCCGGCGCCCGAGCGGGTGCCCGCGCGGGTGGGCGTCAGGCGCCCGCGCCATGCAGCGGCAGGCCGGGTGCCTGCGCAGCCGGCCGCGCTGGAGCGCGCGCGCTGGGAAGGGCCGCTCGGGGGAGGGCACAGAGCCCCTCGGGTCTCGGAGGGAACGAAAGGGGGGGATGGCAAAGGGCAGGGTCGAGAATCAGCTCACGCACAGCTGATTTTCTCCAGCGCCTCCCGGCGCCGGGAGGCGCCCATGCACCGAGGGATGGGCCCGGCGGCGGGGCCGAAACCAGCTGCATGCAGCAGATTTCGTAACCCCCTCTTTCCCAATCCCCCCGTTTCGTTCGGCCCAAGCGTCGTGGAACACAAAACATGACGGATGGATGTTTGGCATGTTCGGCCGCTCGGGGCACTTGCCAGGCCTCAGGACCGCCCCAAAAGGACTCAGGAGAAACTGGTCCCAGGGAGTGGGTCGCAGCCTCTGGGCATCGACGTTGCGAAAAATCGTGACGTTGACGGGTCTGGAAGGGCTGGCATCGTCGTCGTCGTCGTTCCTGTCGCAGAGAGACTGACGACACAGACGAGGGCTGGCGAGAGGGGCCGCGAGGAGTGCTGGAGATGCAGGGCACGCGGAGGGGGCGTGTCGCAGACGGAGGGGCGGGGTCTGGGGAGCGTGGGCGAGGGGCGGGCTGTGGAGGAGGAGCAGGGCGAGGAGGGCGGCGAGAAAAGAGGGGGGGAGGCGGGCGGGGTCGTTGGGGGGCGGGGGGGCGTCTGGGAAGGGAGCGTGATGGTGATGGTGATGATGGTGGTGATGATGATAATTATGATGATGATGCTAATGATGATGCTGATGATGATGCTGGTGAAGATGATGGTGGTGGTGCTGGTGATCATGATGATGATGCTGATGTTCGTGGTGATGATGGTGGCGATCATGATGCCGATGATGACGATGCTGCTGATGATGCTGACGACGAAGATGACGGTGATGCTAACGCTGATGATGCTGATGTTGTTGTTGATGATGATGATGGTGGCGGTATTGATGGTGATGGTGACGCTGGTGACGATGCTGATGAAAGTGGAAAGAATAGTTAGTCATACCGATGATTGATGGTGATGCTGTTTCTTTCGAGGGGACAGCACGCGACATCGTCTAGCTTCTAGCCGCTTGTGACCAACTGCTCATTGCCACCCAAAGACACGCATGAGGGTCCTACAGTTCGGCGCCAATCTCACTCCAAGCTCTGCGGACAGACTTGCGCCGCCTCGGCTGCACACGGAGCCTTGCCTCGAGAGGCTGCGCAGGAAACCCAGGGGGCGACATCCAAGGCGACTCGATGGGCATGGAGAGTGTCTTCACAAAGACCTGCGAACCTAGTGCGAACAATGGGTGGCCACGGGCGCAGGAGAGGGAGGACTGCAGACCACGGGCGGGCGCCGTACTCAGCCAGAGACGCTCTGCCCATCCGGCGGAGACACAACCCACGGAGGCGCGGACGCACGTCGTGGTGCCTGATGTTGTCCAAGTTCACAGGGGCGTTCCGCCGAAGACGTTGGAGGACGCCCGCGAAAGCAGTCCGTGCGGGACGCATCATGGTGACGGGCGCCAGCCCACACTCCACGACTACGAGGACGAACGACGGCAAAAACAAGATGCGTGGAACCTCTGTTCCTGACGTCTCGCACCTGCTTCAAACAGACTTCTTGCTGCTCGCGAGAAGCGCCAAATATTCAACCAGTCGCGCAAGACAAATGATGAGGTCAGGTCCTACGAGGCGCGGCGGCGAAACATCCGATAGCGTCGCGGGCGAAGTGACCGGCAACTTCCCGCGGCGGGGGAGGGGCCGCCGCCGTCGTCGCAGCCATCGCGTCAAACGTGCAAGCCAACAAGGGGCTGCGATACCAACTGTTGGTGCAGTGGGCGCTGCAGCGGGCAATGCAGCGGCAATCGGTTTCCAGTGCTTCCTGCGTCTCGACGCGAGCCCGAGCGACCTCCGTCCGCCAGGCGGCAGACCGAATCCGCGACGCAGTCGAGAGGGAGCGATGAGCTCCTAGGGAAGGTCATCTGGCAATCATGTTGCAGGCGAAGAGGTGGCGGAGAGCGGCCACTCATGCGTTGTTTTTCGGACGGGGGGGGACGAAGGACGTGGGCGGCGACGGGGTGAAGCTGGAGTACGAACTGGAGCACCGGCAACCTTGAACGTGCTGAGTGTTGGGGCAAGCCCGGGACCCATCTGTCTAAGCTGGCGTACACGACGCGGCTAAGGAGCTTCTGCACACGGGCCGCCCAGCCCGAATCCCCCGAAGACGGACCAACTGTCGCGCCTCGACACTCCGCAGCAATAACAGAAGTCAACTTCAGCCAGACCGTTCCCACATTCAGAAACAAACTTTCTCAGCAGCTCCACGTTCACGGCGCCGCGCGCGAAGAGATGGCATTTCGTAGATTTGACGTACAAACCACTGGCAGGACCAAAATGCACTGGAAGGTCCTAGATATGAGGTTCTGCTGTTGGCGCAATCGTCATCGCGAAAAGTTGCTCAACAGCGTGGGTAATAGTTAATGCGCTGCAAGCAGAAAACGCGACGATAACGCGTTCAGCGGAGAATCGGGTTCACCACAAAACAGACGAAGCACCTGCTGCTCGGTCTCCCTGCGTGACTCCCCACAAGAGCCGCATTGCGCCGAAGCGTTTTGACCCCAAGGGCGACGATGCCACGATTATCGCGACGCAGAAGGGAGCAGGCTTGAACAGCAAAAGCGCGGACATGCCTGCGAGAGAAGACGACAATCATAAACGAGATGGTCACGGATGGGAGAGCGGCACGGAAGCCGTTTAGAAGCACCCCCGAGCGGTCGCGCCTAGTGGTGGTGTTGGACCAGCCCAATCGCTGCGGAAGCCAAACTTCTCAGCACGCACCGGACTGCGGCGCATTGCTCGCTTCCATCACTGGTGTCCTTGGATACCCCCGAAGGTGGGTTGCATAGTACACTCGGCAGAAGGCGGACGTCTGCGTTGCCCATATATGTATATGGAGAGAGAGAGAGAGAGAGAAAACAAAAAAAGAGAGAGAGAGAGAGAGAGAGAGAAAAAAAAAAGAGAGAGAGAGAGAGAGGGAGAGAAAAAAGAGAGAGAGAGAGAGAGCAGAGAGAGAGGTCGGGCCTCCTGACGTGGCCAAGACATCGAGGCGCCATTCTCACCATCATGGAGCGTACCCTTCGGCAAGGAAGCCACTCGCAGCAGTCGCGCGCGCCTTCTGGTGAGCCCCGCGCAAGACCAAAAAATGAGCTCACGTGCATACCATACAGGATCTGTGCAGGACAACTACAGTCGGGGCGTTGACCTAAGGAACGATAAATCCGCCGACCCTGTCGGCGTGTGTGAGGGGATTTTCCGTTCGAGCCGTCATCTCCGTCATTCTTTGTACTCGTCGTCTCTGTCCTTCCCTTTCCCTGGGACTCTGGGTCCAGCCAAGCCGACCTTGTCTCTGTCCCTTCCCTTTCGACCTGGGACGCCCCCCCCTGGGACTCCTCTTCCCCTGGGCTCCAGCCAAGCCGACCTTGAGCAACCTCGTAATTGAGTCGAAGGGAAGCCCCTTCCCTTTGATCCCTCCCCCGCCGGGAGGGGGGGGGGGGTAGCGACCCCCCCCCCCGGGTCAGATACGACGCCCCCCCCTGGGACTCCTCTTCCCCTGGGCTCCAGCCAAGCCGACCTTGAGCAACCTCGTAATTGAGTCGAAGGGAAGCCCCTTCCCTTTGATCCCTCCCCCGCCGGGAGGGGGGGGGGGGTACCGACCCCCCCCCCAGTCAGATACGACGCCCCCCCCTGGGACTCCTCTTCCCCTGGGCTCCAGCCAAGCCGACCTTGAGCAACCTCGTAATTGAGTCGAAGGGAAGCCCCTTCCCTTTGATCCCTCCCCCGCCGGGAGGGGGGGGGGGGTAGCGACCCCCCCCCCGGGTCAGATACGACGCCCCCCCCTGGGACTCCTCTTCCCCTGGGCTCCAGCCAAGCCGACCTTGAGCAACCTCGTAATTGAGTCGAAGGGAAGCCCCTTCCCTTTGATCCCTCCCCCGCCGGGAGGCGAGGGGGGGGTAGCGGGGGGCGGTAGCGACCCCCCCCCCAGGTCAGATACGACGCCCCCCCCCCGTACCGACCTTGAGCAACGTCGTAATTGAGTCGAAGGGAAGCCCCTTCCCTTTCCCTTCCCCGCCGGGGGAGGGAGAGGGGGTCCCGGGGGGGGTCCCGGGGGAATCCCGGGGAAGTCCCGGGTCAGATACGACACCTCCCTCCCCCACCTTCTCGTCCTTCTCCCCGTTCCCCAAAACCATCACAGCCCGTGCCTCTTGCTGCGCATTGCGAACAGGGTCGGCGGCACCGGCCGTCAGGCCTTCGCAATAAGGAACGAAGCCCCTCTTCTCCTTAAGTTTAACTTCGATTTCCAGTCGAACACCGAAGGTCAAGCTAAGGCAACCAATCAAACAACAAAGGAACACGGAGCCCCTCCCAAACGAGAAAGGTTCCTTCTTCAGCGCCCCGACTGTAATCGACCAGTAAGGGAGGGGAGTGCTGTTTTCACCAGGCATAGATGGGCACCGAGATCAAATGATGTTCATGGAGATCTTCCATGCCGAAGAACCTTGACGGGCCATCCAGAGCCTGCACCTCCAGAAAATGCTTACACGTGTCTTCTCAAAGGGTTTCGCGCGGTCCGCTTAGCCTCGACCGGAAGAGGTGCGCTCTCGACCCGCGAATAAAAACATGTTTTCCCAAAGGGTGGCGCCGGACTGTGCTGCTGCATTGCAGACGCCGGCTCTTCAAGGGGCACGCAAAGATTGCCCTCGGGATCCAGAAAACCTTGAAGCCAGGGTGCGTCTCCAGCGCACGAATCCCCCGGCGTTCGTGCTGGCATTCGGGCCCCCGCAAGTACAGCTTGGGATGCTCCTCATGGGCCTCAGAGCGGCCATTGCTGAGCTCCTCCTCATCGATCGTGCGACTTTGGAGACGATGGGAGTGAGAGCGAAGAGAACCAGGCTGCAAAAGCGCCAGCGAGTCCACGCCACAGAACGTGAAACGATGCGCGCGCACCCCACCGCACGCATGGTCATGAAAGAGCGAGCTGGACTGAAAGATCCGAATGCATGGAGCGACATGAAGAGACCAGCGCGACTTCTCGAGAGGCGTACTTGCGTGGCGTCGTGCAGTCTCCGCGCGCGCGGGCTGAACGCATTCATGCATGGCGTGCCTCGCCGCAGGGCGAGCCTCCTCCAAGGACGGAGAGACAGATGCCGCGATCAACCTCTGGAGGAGCACCAAAGACCAGCTCGCGGTGCACCCGGAGACGAGCAGTCCACAGCGCAAAAGGGGCACCGTAGTTCACGGGGGCACAGCACTCAAGCACAAGCAGCATCGGGATGTGGACCGCACGCTGCCTGTCCAGCAGCCTTCCCTACACAAAGAAATGAACGGATGGGCTCAGCCGTGCGCCCAACCGCCGAACGTCCGATTCATAGGGAAACCCAGCCCAAGATTTGCAAAGATGATCGGATGAATCGGTGCGAGCACGATCCACTGGACAAGAGCCGTTTCTGGCCGCCAGCATCCTCCCCACTCCTCTGGGTGGCAAGTCGGAAAAACAAAAACAAGGTAAGGGTAATGTAGGACGAGTAGGGAGCCAGAAAACTCCATGCATTCGCAAGATGAGCGCTCAGAACTCCATGCATCGGTAATCACTCAACCAGTGCTCTGGCCAACAGTGAAGAAGGACTGCCCAAACTCATGCCCTCACACGTGCTTTCACAACTGGCTGATATCTGAAAGTTAGCCGTGGGCCTCGTGCGCACAAGCAGTCGAACAACGACTGCAAACCTGGCGAAATTTTGTCTCACGGGTAGGGGCAGCAGCGTATCCAGAAGCCTTCACCGTACCATAGGGACCGCAAGCATTCCAGGCAATGGTAGCGAAACGCATTGCAGGCAAAGGTGGCTGACCACTGGAACCCAAGGCATCCGCTGAGCAAGCGTACGAGTTTGCGGCAGAGGGCGGACTCGAAGCAATGTCTAGAGCAATCGACTAGCTGTAGCGCTCATTGACCAGTCTGGTTCGCTCGGGCGGTGGCTTCGGTGATGGCGCTGGGCCCAGCCTCATCCTTCAACTTCCAGGTCATGCAGTTCACAAGGTCGGTCTCGAGGGTCCAGCCGAACGGCTGGCAACCTCTGATTACATCATTCCCCACGTCTCACCATTGTCTGCAATTCCACACATATTGGCCACGCCCTGGGAGCCATTCACCCTAAGACGCATGGCAGAGAAGTCAGACCCCTTCGCATCCAGCATGGACTTGCGGCGGCCATAACTACATGAACAGCCCCTCTGACGGGCCCGTTCATCCGCGGAAAAGTCCGGGCGATCCTTGATCGAGTGCATCCCAGTGGTGCGCGGGTCGAGCCAGTCCAGGGTGGCCAGGTTGGAAACAACGAAGTCCTAGGATCGCTAGGACTCGAGCGCGGACAGGAACTCCAAGCTGCAGGACCTCGAAGTACGAGGGAAGTCGCGGATGATGTTCTGGGCCAGGCCCTGAGGAAGAATAGGAAAAACAACATTACGATAATGCGCAGCACATTCACGAGCAAAGAGGGTACGCGGGAATGTGCCGATCCAGCGGCGTTTCTTGTTCAAGGTGTTGTCACCACCTTCGCCACGGCGAAACTTGGCACCACCATCAGACGAGATGAAGGTCCTGCTAGAGCTCGCAGACGAAGGAGAAATCGTAAGGGAGCTGATGGTTTGTTTGACACCTGCATGGGCTTCTCAAGGGCCTGAATATTCGGGTTGGCGATGTTCGATATACCAATGTCATCGCCATCATCGCGAGGAGAACGAACGATGCGCTCGAGCTCGGCGACACGGGCCCCCCTTGGCGGCGACGGCCGTGCCGATCTTTCTGGCCACGAAGTTCAAAGATTGCAGCACCTCGCCTTTACGTGCGCTCATCTCTTGAAACTGGGCGGCGATCTCTGCGCGGATCTCCTGGCTCTGAGTGTTGATCAGAGCAGGCAACGCGAGGCAAGGGGCGCCAGTGCTCCTTCCTGAGACGGGACGTCGAGAATATTCCTTGGTTTCCAGCTCGAGGCAGCTGGGGACATGCGTTTCGAGCTTGAGTCAAGCTGAGAGTGATCATGTTGAGGCTTGGTGGTTCATAGTGACCGTGGTGATGGTGTCAGTGATGACCAGGCGATCTGCTGCGCGAGGTCGTTGACAGATAGTTCAATAGCACATGGATGACGAAAGTACATGCGGCATGCGCGCTTACTTTGAAGCGATGATGGGGATGACGGTGAGTACTACCACGATGTTGACGGCGGTGATGATGCTGCTGATGATCTTGCTGAGGATGGTGATGACAATGACGCTGGTGAGAAGGATAATGGTATTGATAATGACAATGATAGCGATGCTGCTCATGCTGATGACGATAATGATGCTGGTGGTGGTGGTGATCAGATGGCTAACACTGTGATTGTTGTTGGTGGTGGTGATGATGATGGTGAAGATGCTTATGATGATGCTGCTGATGATGATGGGGATGATGATGATGATGATGATGATGGTGATGATGATGGTGATTCTGATGATGAGTATGATGATGCTGCTAATGATGATGATGATGACGATGATGATGGTGATGATGATGAGGATGATGAGGATGATGATGAATGTGATGCTGCTGCTGGCGCTGGTGATGATAGGGATGATGAGGACTATGATGATGATGCTGCTGATGATGAGGATGACGATGATAACGCTGATGATGATTGGCCAGCTGCGCCTCACCCAGCCGTCGCCCTGGCGCCAGCGGCCCCGCGGCGAGGCGCGCCATCGGGATCTGCAGGTCGTCGTCTGCATCGCCGTCCTCCGCCGCACGTGCGGCTGGGGGGGGATCGGCGGGGGAGCAGGCTGGCACAGAGCAGACGGGTCCCGAGGGAGGCTTCCACCAGGACCAGCGGACAGTCCTCTCGGCAGCTTCGTATCGTGTCGACCCAGGCGTTGGTTCCTGACACCGCGGGGATCGTTCTTCTGTGCCTGGCTACATGGTGTGAGTTCGCGTCTCTTGCCTGAAAGGGTGCAACTTCGGGCCTGAGGCTGGGGGGGAGGAGGAGGAGGAGGAGGAGGAGGAGGAGGAGAGGAGGAAGGAGGAGGAGAGGAGAGGAGGAGGAGGAGGAGGAGGAGGAGGAGGAGGAGGAGGAGGAGGAGGAGAGGAGGAGGTGAAGCATCGGCCGCTCGCGCACCGCCCGATCGCTCCTCACCGACCGCTCCTGGGCCGCCGCCGGCGCTCCACGACACGACACGCCGGCGGCGGGGCCGCAGCTGGTCGACACGACACGAAGCTATAGCGTACCCGTTGGCTTCGCGGCGAGCGGTGGAACCAGGAAGCTCTCGGGAGGAGGGAGGAGAGAGGAGAGAGGAGAGAGGAGAGAGGAGAGAGGAGAGAGGAGAGGGAGGAGGAGGAGGAGGAGGAGGAGGAGGAGGAGGCGGAGGAGGAGGAGGAGGAGGAGGAGGGACGAGGAGGAGGGAAGAGGAGAAGGGAAGAGGAGGAGGAGGTGCAGGAGGAGGAGGAGGAGGAGGGGGAGGAGGAGGAGGAGGAGGGGGGTGATGATGATTATGGTGATGAGGATGATGATTCTGATGATGCTGCTGATGATGGTGATGATGATGATGCTGATGATGATGACGATGATGATGATGCTGATGGACACCGTGGAGCCTCTCGGGTCGGGCGAAAGGGGGGGGTAGCAAAGGGGGGGTTTGAGAATCAGCTCACGTGGCTGACTTTCCCGGCGCCTCCCGGCGCCGGAGGCGCCGGGGCCCGAGGGGCCTACCGGCGCTGCGCCAGCGGTGGGGCGACGAGTGCGGGGGGGGAGGAACCCAGAGATCCCCAGCGCACCGACGAAAATCAGGACGGAGGTTTTTCCCTATTTTCGGCCCTCGCTGAGCCCCATATGGGGCCCTCGCTGAGCCCCAGGAGCGTCAACGAACGGCTTAGGATGAGAAGCCGGTCCTGGGGAGTTGGTCGAGACTTCTGGGGGCCCCGCATTGGGTAAATCACCACGTCGGATCTCTGGGAACGTGCCCCCTTCGTGTCCCTCTCCCTGGGGCCCCTTGGGCCAGACGAGGTGCACGAGGTATGTGCACGTGCCTTCGCCCCCGCCATGCACCGCCCTTCCATGACCTGAGCATTTCTTTAGGGTGGAGGGCTCAAGGTGAAATCCGTATGGGCTCTTGCACCCACCATCAATCCGCCTTGTGCTTCGCTTTTTGCAGGTTCAAGCTTCGAAAACCCATCGACACGGCATTTCAGATTTCACCCTTTGCCCTCCACCGAAACGCACAGCGCCCAAGGCGCTTCGGAAGGCCCTGGCCGGACTGGGACGGAAGTGCTGCAGGGCGGTAGGCCCAGACACGTCCGCCGATCGGACGTTTTACTGCTCTGTCCGCGGCCACGGAGCTCCCGACCCCGTCCTTTGGGGCAGGCTTGCTTTGGAGTCCCGAAACCGTGCGGCAACACATCGCGCGGTGACCTCGCCATCCCCTATAAGACCTCACTGCACGGTCCGTCCACGCCCGGTTTTGGGACCTCGGAGGCCCCAGGCGCCCAGGACGTCCTCGGAGAACGACCCGAATCCCCGAACCGCGCGGCGACCCCGAACCCTCACCGACTCACCACGCGGCGCGGTCACCGCCCCGCTTGGGGGCCCCCATCCTCTGGGGGGCAGGCGGGCGCCCCCGGGCCCGCACGCGGTGGCCCCGGAAGGCCGCCTAAGAGGCCAACGGAAGCGGGGGGACTGTGTTGGCGCGGGGGGTCGGGCGGCGAGTTGCGTCCAAGGAGTGGTCTCGGGCTGAGAGCGGGCCGCGCCCGCTGCCGGAGGCGGCCGAGGCGAAGGACGGGGCAGGAGGGGAGGAGAAGCGCGGCAGCGGGCGCGCTTCCCCGTACGATTGCGGGGAGACTTCGCTTTTATTCGCGAGCGTCGCGGTCCAGCCGCGCGCCGTCCAGCAACGCGCAGCGAACGAGCAGCGGGCTAAGTTAGGCCCTGAGCAGCAGGAGCGGGCGGGCTGCGCTGCCGCTCAGGAGGCGAAAGCGACGCTGAAGAGGAGGTGGTTGAAGCCAAAGCCGACGAAGGCCAGAATTGCGGGGAGACGCGCCCGGACTGAAACAACAAATCCTATCTCGGCGGCGAGCCGGGGGGGACGTGAGGAGGGGCGCGCCATCTCACAAGGCTCGGAAGACTTCTGGCCTTCTGACCGGCCTGCCCCGAAGACGCAGAACACTCCTGAGAAGGCCGGAGCGTTTCTGAGAAGCCCCGCCGCCTTCTGAGACCCTCTCACTGAGCAAGGGTCGCGAATACGCGCGCTTCGAGGAACAGACTAAGCATCGATGCGAGTAGCGGGGCGAGGGCCCCAAAAGCGGGCAGCCCAGGCTGGTGGCACGGAGCTGAGACCCTCTCACTGAGACCCTCTCCCAGACATGCGACTTCCTTACTTTTTCAATGCGGGGTCCCCGGAAGTCCAGACCCTTTCCCCGGCACCGGTTTCCATCCTGAGTCATGCTCGGCGGTGGGCAAACCTCCCTTCAGTAAACCTCCCCTGAGTGAAAACGGCCGAAGACCGAAACCGACGGACCTGGACCCGCAAATCTGACGGCCGTGACGCCCTCTCGCAAACCGAAAGCGGCCAATTCCTTAATCGAAGGATTGCAAAAAAAAAACCAGGATTGCAAAAAAAAAAAAAAACAGGATTGCAAAAAAAACCTTGATTGCAAAAAAAACCTAGGGCTTTTTTTGGCAAAAAAAAATTGCAATCCTTCGCGTCAGCACAGGAGGCCTATCCACCTCCGACCTGTTTTCAACAGTCCCGAGAGGCCCAGCGGGGGCACCCCCGGGGCCGAACATGGCGAAGAAGCGCCCCTCCATGACTTCTTGGCGGCGCGATCCCGCCTGGGCTCCTCCCTGGGGCCTTCCTTCCCCCCCCCTGTCGGGGAGACGTAAGACCCGGGTACGGGGGACTCGGAAATCCCCGACGAGGTCGTCAAAAAAATGACGAGGCCGAGCCTGCCTTTTGACGAGGCCTCCCGCTGCAGACATCCCACAAAACTCCTCCTCGTCAAAATCCGAGTCGCGGTCGTCAAAAAACGATGGCGAACCCGAGTCCTGGCAAACCCGGGCCCTCCTTCCCCCCCCGGGCTCGCCGCCGCGCATCGCTGGCGATCGGAGGCCCGCTCGGGGATGGACAGACCTCCCTTTCGTAAAACGCGGCTTGGTGAAAACGACCTGAGGCCCAAACCTGGCGGGCGCAAGCCTGGGAAAAGTAACGGCCGCAGCGCCCTCTCGAGAAGCGAACACGGACAAGTCACCGATCGACGTGTCACTGTTGGAGGGGTCTGTCCGCCCCCGACCCGCGGACAGGCCGGGGAACGGGCCCAAGGGCCGCAGGGGTTGCGTTGCTCCCATCGTACTTCAAGACCACATCCCAGACATGAGTTCGAGCACCCGGAAGAGTGTCGAGAGAGTGTCGAAACAGTGTTGGGGAAACAGTGTTGGGACAGTGTCGGACGAGTGTCTCCCAGGGCCCGACTCGTGAAAACCCGCGAGCTTCGGTGCTCCGTTGGTGCTCGGACTTCTTTCGGGGCCCCCTTTTGGGGTCGTCTTGGGGGCCTCTTGGGCTCTGTCCTGGCGCCTTCCTGAACCGTTGTGGGGCCTTCTTGGAGGCCTCTTGGGCCGCTTTCGAGTGACATTGCAGGTTCATGGGCCGCCTGGGAGCGTCGGGAAGTCGAAAAGGCGAGGACGCCAAAATCGGTGAAAAACTGGGTGATCCAAAGGCGAAAGTAGGTTGGAACATCATAAGGTTGGGCGCCCGAATTATCCGGGGTAACTCGGGTCCGGGGTAACTCGGGTTTGGATTCCCGAAACAGGAACCCGAGTTAGCCCTGACCCGAGATACCCCTGATGATTCGGGGCTCTGGACGCCCGAATTATCCGGGCTAACTCGGGTCCGGGGTAACTCGGGCTTGGATTCCCGAAAAAGGAACCCGAGTTAGCCCTGACACGAGTTACCCCTGATGATTCGGGGCTCTGATAAGGATAGGGCGGGGAGCGGGCCCAGGGGCCGCAGGGGCCGACGCCTGCCGCCGGCGGGGCGGGGCCGGGCGCCTCGCCGACCACCTCGTGGAAGCCGAGGGCCCGGTAGAAGCCCAGCGCCTCGGGCGAGGCGAAGAGGCCGATCTCCTCGGCGCGGGGGCGCCCGCGGGGAAAGCACCGCACGGGAGGCCGCGCGGGAGAGACCGCGCGGGGGCAGAGGCCTCCTAGATGGGATGCGAGTAGATGAGGGATGAAACAACGACCCTACCCTGGATTACGAGTGCGTGGTCTGTGAACCTCCTGGGAACCCCCAAAGCCTAGAGGACGCCAGGACGCCGCACATCACGCAGGGTTCACCCTGTCAGCCCACAGGAGCTTCAGTGCACAGCGCCTCGTGAACCAGGGTAGGGGCGTTTTTTTAACCCTTGAGAGTAGATGGGGGCGGAGGATCTCGCCGCATGGCCGATACATCGGCGACACATCGCCGATGCATCGGCGATGTATCGGCCATTCACCGGCGACGTCGGCGTGGAGAAATTTGGGCCCCACATTGAGCCGCATCGCTGATGCGTCGCCGATGCATCGGCGATGCGGCGCGATCCTCCGACCCCGTCTACTCCGACCCCATCTGGGAGGCCTAGAGGGGGGGGACAGCACTTCTAGACAAGCGCGTTCCACTGCTCGCAAGGTAGCTGCTCGCAAACGGGCTGGATCCGCCGAGGGGGGCTCACGAGCCACTACACGGAGGGAGACATGTGTTTCTCCTGACGCTTGCGAGTAGGCACTGTGCGGGTAGTGGAACACGCTCGGTGAATTTCGGGGCCCACACATTACACCACCACCATCTCCCTCCCCCCTCCCGCTCCCAGGAAAGCAGCGATGAAGAAGAAGGCAGGCCGCCCAGCAGGAGAGCCCAGAATCGAATCGACAAGTCGGATCGGCGATCGACATGAATCGGATCGGCGGAAATCGGCGGCCGAGTCGGGAAAGGCCGAATCGGCGGACATCGGCAGGCTCGTATGCCTCAATCGAGGGATCGGAGTCCAGATCGGAATCCGAAGTCGAATCGGATCGGAATCGGAAGCCATCGAAATCGACTCGAATCGAATCGGAGGAATCAAAGCGAACCCTGCCGTACGGGGGGGACCAGCATTTCGGGGCCCACACATATGCACCACCACCACCCCCCTCCCCCCCCCTCCCCCTCCCAGGAAAGCAGCGAGGAAGAAGAAGAAGAAGAAGAAGAAGAAGAAGAAGAAGAAGAAGGCAGAGGAGGGAGGAGGAATCGACGTAGTGGTAGTGTGTATATCTGTATCCATATATATATATATACACATACACACACATATATATATATATATATATATATACTCTTGGGGCCCGCAAGCAAGAGTGGCGATTCGTTTCGCAGCGCGGAGCCCCAGAGGTCCGGTCCCCTGCCTCGGGGCCGGGCTTCCACCCCGAGCCGTGGGCGGACGGTCCTGGGGGCCTGGCGAGGGCTGCGAAAAGCCGAACACATCGAAGCGAGCCACATGCTTTCCTGTTTCGTCTCCCCCCCCAAGAGGAAGCATCTCCCGCGGTGCCTTTGCGCACGGTGAGCGCTCTTCCCTCCCCCTCCCTCCGCGCGGCCGCCCTCGTCCTTGCCCCTCTCTTGCATGCCGGCCCATTGGCCACACGGCTGCCCCGAATTGCCACACGCTGGGCCGGACCGCCTCTGCCTCGCCGGCCGCCGACGGGAAAAGCTTTCAGTTGAATCGCATGTTTTCCCTGTTTCTTCAAGAAGAAGAATGAGAAACAACAAAAAGCATAATCATTAACTGCTGTCGCTCCGCGCGGTCGCTCCGCGCGGATTTCTTGGATCTCCCCCTAAAAAAACATCTCGCGCCGTGTTCTTTCGGGGAGACGTAAGACTCGGTACGGGTGACTCGGGTTGGCCCGACGGGGCCATCCACAAACATCACGAGGCCCACTCTGAACTTTGACGCGAGCTCCCGCTGCAACCATCCTACGCAGACTGGACCCTCAAAACCCAGGACGCGCTCGTCAAAAAACGACGGCAGACCCGAGTTCTGGCCTACTCGGGTCTTACGTTAGAGGCCTCCTAGATGGGGTCGGAGTAGATGGGGTCGGAGGATCGCGCCGCATCGGCGATAAATCGGCGATGCATCGGCCATGCATCGGCGACGCATCGGCGATGCACTGGCGATGCATCCGCGACGTCGGCGACTCATCGGCGACGTTCGCGTGAAGCAAGTCGGGCTCCGCATCGAACCGCATCGGCAAAGTATCGGCGATGCGGCGCGATCCTCCGACCCCATCAACTCGGACCCCATCTAGAAGTATCAACTCGCGTCAAAGTTCAGATTGAGCCTCGTCATTTTTATGATGGCCCCGTCGGGCCAACCCGAATCCCCCGTACCCCGATTGGCTTGGTTTTGCCTGGAACCGAAAGCGGGGCAGGACAACTATTTTTTTAATCGTTCTCCTCCAGTCAGAAAATTGTGCAGAAATAACAGAAAACAGGTTTTTTTGTTTAAATCGTTCTCTCCCATTTTGTTTATTAATCGTCATCCCGCATCACTCGGGTCTTACGTCTCCCCGATCCTCGCGCACGCTCGGAAGGGGGTCGGCCCTCGGGCCGCAGCCTCGGGCCCCGGGCGGCCGTCGGGGGGGGGGGCGAGACGCCCGGCCTCCCCCGGGGCGCCCGGCGGCGAGGCGCAGCGGCGCGCCGTCGACGGCGACGACGACGACGACGACGACGACGACGACGACGACGACGCGCAGCAGAATCTGCCGGACCGCCTGAAGCCGTCGACGCGGAAGCGTCCGCGACGCGAGGGGGGAGCTGCATCCCCCCTCATTACCTGAAGGGACCCAGGCGCACACACACACACACACACAGACACACAGACACACACACACAGACACACACACACACACAAAACACACACACACACACACGCACACACACAAAACACACACGCACGCACACACACACAGACACACACACACAAGCACACACACACAAAAAAAAAACACAAATCATAGGATTCCTCATATTTTCTCATACATTATTGGTTTTCGTCTTCTCCCCCCACTTCCCATGCTTCCCCATCTGTTGCACTGGGGATCGACGGTTCATCGTGTCTGTGTGGTTTTTCCCCTCTCCTGACTATACCTCCGCGAGCAGCCCAGACTCCCGCTTCCTACAGGCTCGAGAACTCGCCCCGCGGCCAAACGCAGACCCCCGCCATCGGAAAGGTCTCATCCCACGTCGACCCCCATGGGGTCTCGACCCGTTCCCGGGGGCCGGTTGTTCTTCCCGGGTCGTTTCTTGACTGCCCGGGGACCCAGCGGGGGCCCCCATTAGGGAGCCCATGCTTATGTTGCATCCTCGGGGGACCTTGTCTGTCCCGTCGCGGCCCTGTCCGCGTCGAATCCGTGTCGAATCCATGTCGGACGCGTCGGATCCGTGTCGAATCCGTGTCGAATCCGCGTCGAATCCACGCCAAATCCGCGTCGAGTCCGCATCGAGCACGCGTCGGGCCCTCAAAAAGACACCAATTTTGGGGACAGGCGAGGTCCCCCGAAGACGCAACAGAACCATGCACAAAGGACGTACGTGCCCAGCTATGTACATGAACACGGCCCCTTGACCCGCGAGACTGGCCGCGTGATACGACCATTCGCGCAATGCGAACTCTCGAAAACAGCGTGGATTCATGTACGTGTACGTCCTTCTTTCGCCCCTGACCCATGGAGGCCGCAAATCAGAAACATAAGAAACAACGGCACCGTCTTCCGAGGTGACTTTGTCATGACTCGACGGGGGGTCTGGGACGGGAGAGGAGGCAAGCGGCAGGGGAGGGGAGAGCAACATTCTTAGATCGGGCATGTCCCCCTACATGCGGATTTTGGACGCCGACTATGTTTTGATTATTTTTATGTTATTTCTCCTGCAGAAGGACAGGCCCGACTTAACAATACCCAGACATGCAACGTCCTGATTTTTTCAATGCGGGGTCCCCGGAAGTCTGGACCCTTTCCCCAGCAACGGTTTTTCATCCTGCGTCGTTTTGTTGACGGTCCCGAGGCCCGGCGAGGGCCCCCGAGGCCGAAAATGGCCAAAAAGCGTCCGTCCTGATCTTTGGGCGACGCGATCCTGCCTGGGCTCACTGAAGCCTTCCTTCCTTCCCCCGCTGGCTCGCCGCCGCGTGTCGCTGGCGATCCGAGGAGGCCCGCGGATAAGGGCGGGGAACGGGCCCAGGGGCCGCAGGGGTTGCGTTGCCCCCATCGTACTTCAGGACCATATCCCTTGGGCGCCCGAGTTATCCGGGGTAACTCGGGTCCGGGGTAAGTCGGGTTCGGAATCCCGACAAAACCAACCCGAGTTAGCCCTGACCCGAGTTGCCCCTGATGATTCGGGGCTCTGCTTTGTGGATTTTGGTCTTAGGCGAGTTGTAAGATGTTGTGAATGACTTATATTGGATTTACATAAGATGGTTAGCGCCACCAATGTGCAAGTAGCTACAAGTAACTTGCAAGTTACTTGTAAGAGCCCGTAACCTCCGTAAGTTTTACAAGTTCCCCTAACTATTCCTAACTCGGCGTCGGCTGCATCGGCGGCGGCGGCGGGAGGTGGAAAAAAAAGGGAAGGAGAGGGGAAGGGGGGGGGGCGAGGGGGGCGCGAGGGGACGGGGAGGGAGGAGGAGACGGGGAGGAAAGGGGAAAAAGGGGACAGGAGAGAGAGGGGGAGGAGGAGGAGGAGGAGGAGGAGGAGGAGGAGGAGGAGGAGGAGGAGGAGGAGGAGGATGGGGAGGAGGAGGATGAGGAGGAGGAAGGGGGAGGAGGGGGAGGGGGAGGAGCAGGAGGAGGAGCAGAGGAGGAGGATGGGAGAGGAGGACGACGACGAGGAGGAGGAGGAGGAGGGGAGGATGGTGATGCCGATCCAGAGGATTCTCCCTGGCGGACCGCGGCGGTCCGAGGCGGTACAGGCAAGCGCGCGCCAATCTTTCCTCTTGCCTCGTCATCCTCCCGCTCCCTCCCCAACTCTCATCCTCCTCCTCCGCATCCTCCTCCTCCTCCTCCTCCTCATTGCCCTCCCTTCCTCCTCCTCCCCCCCTCCTCCCCCGTGTCATCCTAATTAA